ATTAATATCTCATAATATAATTCATGCTATGTTAATATTAACCGAATTATTTGATCATACTTTTAATATAATAATAAAATACATAATTGCTATAAATTATTGTTATAAATCACCGGAAATTCTCATAAATTCTTTCTGTTTTCGCTTTTGATACCATTTATGTACAAGGAATCCAATTGTCATCAAAATTGCGGTGCTTAAAATTCCGCTTATTGTACCAATTACAACTCTTATTGTACTTAATTGACCATTAATAGTTTTTGGAGAAGATGATGGTGTTGTAGTCATAGTTGTCGAAGGAGGATTTGGTAAACTTGAATTTGAGGTGTAGGTTCAAATTTATTAACCCAAGTATAGTTTCTAATATCTAACAGATAAATTTTGTTTGACCAAGAATTTTTTCTGATCCAGTCGTATGAGCAATAAGTCCTACATGTAAACATTTATTTATAAGATTCAAAATAGAAATGTTAAATATTACATATAAGGAATAGTTACCAAAAGCAACAATCATATAATTATCAACTAAATTTGCTATATGATAAGCAAGTGATGGAAATTCACCAATATTTGATGATACTTGCGGTACGGTCCATTCATATGGAGTTGTTTGAGTATTCAAAATAGCCAGACCTGGTGTGGATTTACTACCGCCGACTTTAACCCACCCTTTATAATTATTTTCCCATCTTGAGCTATACAATTAATAATTATATGTTATTATGTTCAATACTAAATAATAATTTGAATAATCTATACCTAATACGGCTGAATGACTAAAACGGGATTCAATTTGTTCAAGACTTCCTGCTTGCTTAAATAATTTTTTAATTTTAAGTAATGGATTTAAGCAAAATAATTGTAATGAATACATCTATATTTACCATTACTGACCACTTGTTATTTCTTGTATCATAAAGGTTAATTTGATTAATATCTATTTCACGCCGAACATTATCATTAGTTAATTCCCTACCTCCAACATATACAATCATACCATTTGGTAATAATGTTGCAGTATATGCAGCTCGTTTTGAAGGAGCATTAGCAATTGAACCATATGACCACGTTAAATCAGTAGTACTTAATATTATCATATCATTAAAAATTTGATTATTTTGTAAAGTAGGTCCACCAAATACATAAATAGCTACAGTATCATCAACGACGGCTTGAATGCTTCTTCGTCTCATCGGCTTTGTACCTGTAGTTATAGGTACATTCCATTGCCCGGACTTTGGATTAAATGTATGTACTAGTGAGGTAAATACATCTTTATTATTTGGTCAACCATATATCCACCAATAAGGTATATTGTCGGGTTATTATTACTATCATTTACTGCAACGGTAGTCGCCCAACAACTTTTAAAACTTATTCCTGAATTTAATGTAAGGTCGGTCCATGGCGGAAGTCCTGAAACAAATTTTTGAGATACATCAAGGTAGAATACTTCATTTGTACAAGTTATTTCGCTTCTTCCACCAAAAAAATATAGTCTGTTTCCAACAAGGGCTGTTGAATGAACATTACGTCCTACAGGAGTTAATGACTCAATTCTCAATAACAAATGAATAATTATGAAGATGAAATTAAGTAATTTATTATATTGTTTACAATCCATAATTCAGTAGTAAATAATTTACTTCAAAAAAATTTCTGTTTGGTAGAAAATTATTTTATTCCCTTATTTATCAAATTTTAAATTACACTGCATTTTAATACGCCGAATTTAATTACTTTGTTCAGTAAAAGGTTGTGTAACATTATTTCTTGTACTTCTGGACCAAAATTTTGTATAACTATTCGTATATTCGTACTACCAAATATACAGATCTTTTTATCTGATCTGGTACTAAAGTCTGAAGCTCGATCCCGAAGGTTTAAAATTTCCGAAGTTAAAAATCCCCGATCAAGCTTGGATAGATGACTTACCTAAAGATGACGAAAACAAAGTTGTTCCAACCAAAGTCTCTCTTGTAGCTGTTAAAGCACAATTTCGAAAAGGTTGTCAAAGTGAAAAAAAATATTTATAGATAATAAGCTTAGTGTAGCTAACGTGCAATCGAACTGAAAGTAAAATGAAAACTATAACGAAAAACAAAAAATTAAATATACATATGGCTCTTCTAAGTATGTCAAGTCGAAGTAAAAAAAAAATAAATAATTATTGCAATCCAACCGGGTTAAATAAATTAATGAAATTTTAATAGCTTTACCTATGACAATTGAAGCCATTAAACACTAAAGAAATCACCTAAAGAAAATAATTTAATTTATAATAATCATGAAAAAATTAAATCAACTGTCGCTTTACCCGAAGTTTCCGAAGGAGAAATAAATTAACCCAAATCTAAAAAAAAAAAAGATTACCAGTACTGGAGTAGGAAAGTGGGAACTAAAAATGAAATATTCGATTGCTGCGGATTGACGCCATACGATTTATTTATAGTGAGAACAAGCAATCTTTTTTCTTTTATTCTCGATAAGTAAGCAAAAATAAAGAACTTTAATTCGTATGCAAAGCATAGCATTATGCTATGCAATAAAAAGGATATTTATTAGCCCAAACTGCGCAAAATAGAAAATGATAAAAATGATACAAGCTTTTAAACATTCACATTTTAAATAGAGAATTATTAATTTTCTTTCTCTTTACTATTAAACATGCCAGTATAAACCATTCAAAACAAAGCAAAGGCAATATTTTATAAGCATAATATTTAATTACTGAGGACTATTTTCGGGTAATAATCAGTACTATAATTTAAAATTCTAATAATTCGACTAGGGATTGGAATCGATTCTAATAAAATCGAATTAATCGAAAATCGAATCGAAGTCGATTTTAATCGAATCTATTTTTGTACATATATAATGCTCAGCATATCGCGCATTACAATATTAAAAAGTGTCTATCTACTGTATATGGAGTGGAAGTTGAGTTACATAATATGAGTAAATTTTTTTTCAAATATTCATGTCCAATAATTAAACAAAATATTTATAAATATTAAACCATAAAATGGTATAAATTGTATAGTATTATTGAAAAAAAATTGATTTTTCGCGATAAATTATTATCATTAAATTAGTGGTTTTACCCAGGCGATGCCTAGAGGGTTAGCTAACATGACGTGAAATAATGTTTTAGCATATCAAAATTTAAAATAAGTAATACAATTAATTGATGTTTTTTTATAAATAATATAATCCAACCCTAACTCTAAACAATCCCTAATCTTAACACATATCCGACTCTAACTCTAACCCTAATCCAATTCTAACATTAACTCATAATTGATGTAATTATATATTATTATTTAATTTCAATTTTTAATGAAAAATTTAAGAATTTTTTTTCATTTTTAATAATTTATATAATTTATTTTTTTATTAAATGAATTTAAATTATTCATTCTTCTTAATTTGTTAAAAAAGCGTTTTGCAGATATAACAGAAAATTAAAAAAAAATAATACAAATTATTTTACAATCGCGGGTTTTTATTTTTAAATATTTTGAATTATTTTTTTTTTATTTAATGATTAATGTTCGCCAGATTTTTAAAAATTTTTTTTTTTTTTTTTATAATCGCTCGTTCTAATATTTAATTTTATTTTTTATATTTTTTTAATTATTTTTTTAATTTGCATATATATATCGCCTATTCTTTTATTTTAATTTAATTATTTTATTTTTATTTTCCGGATTTACTTTATTTAGAGTGTTCTAAAGCACCTAACTAAATGAATCGATTATATTCGATTAATTGAAATTGAATCTTAGAGTCGAATCTTAGAGAAAACGATAATCACGATTAAATCGATTCTCAAATCGATTCCAATCCCTAAATTCGACTAAACAATGATAATATATCATTGCATAACTAGGCTAAATATTAATATAAATTATAATGATAATATGGGAACATTGCAATAGAAAAGGGGAAAAGGCTGGAAAAAAATAAAAATGAGTTAATACTTAATCTGATCATCTTTTAACCTAAAAGTCATATTTGGCATGCATATAAAAGTAAAATTGATTTTACCGGCAGTTTCCCCCTTTTCATTACAATGATTTACGGCGATATCCCGACACCCAGAATCTCGACTCAAAATCCCGACATACCCAAAATCTCGATATTTCATAATCCCGAATGTCTTTAATCCTGAATGAACATAATCCCGACTGTCAAAATCCCGAAATTATATGTCTGGTACTCAGGTCAAAATAAAAAAATCATGAGGTTAGAAAATGTCAAAAAATTGATATATAATCTCGTCATCAGTCATATAATTATACAAATTTAAGCCCAAAATAAAATAAATTCTTTCTGGAATTTCTTTTATTCATATATTGTTTCAGTTCAGTTATTCTAAAATAAAATCTATTAGAAAAAAAAAAATGAGAGATTTGTGAACTTGTACCATCGCAAATAGGAAACAACAAAATATTTGATGGTAAAAGAACGAAGTCGAAACGATAAATACTATTGGTGTTGTGAAAAGAGAAAATCAGAAAAATGTAAAGGCCGGGATACTAAATAATGGTTCACACTACCTTAAAACCCTTGTTGATACACCTAAAGCCAGCAGTCCTAATGTTGCAAAAGCTAAAAACGGGCTGGTGAAACTAGAGAAAACCTACACTAATTATACAAAATAATATGGTTAATATTTCTAATTAAACTCATCCTTATATGCCATCACGCAACGCACTTCATAGAAAATTATTCGAGTTAGAAAGTAGAAATACCACCAGAACCACAAAGCATAGCAGAAGTTAATACCCAAATTCATTAAATAGTGAAAGATCAAATAATTGAACAGGAACGAATCCTTATGTTTCCACAAATAATATATTCAACATTTGTCTCAAGCAATATTTTACAATTAATATCAATAATAATAACAAAAGTTTTTTATATATAATAGAATTTTACGAGTAATTATGGATGTTCTAAGTTTCTAAATATAATGGTCAAATTGAATGTATTGGTACTTCATAATCTTATACATAATCACTAAAATGTTACCTATTATTTTTATAAAGAAAAGAAAATTCATCGTATATTGATTAAAGAAAAATAATTTACTTGATTTACTTGTTCAATTTTGGGTTTGAATGATGAAAATTTAATCGTTAGAAATTATGTGTTATATATGTTGGTCTAGAATACGAAACTATAATATTTTCTCGTCTAGGTGTATTTAGTGCCACGATTATAATCTATTGATGACACGAAATGTTAAAAGTCTTATCCCAAGACTAAAAAAGGAACACCAAGATCACTATATATACAAAATCTAAGATATTGAAATAAATAATAAACATGTTAAAATGAAGACGTTTAATTTAAATTTATTCAACATATTAAACACATATGACATCATTGACAGCGACTATGTCAACCACAACATTAATCCCTTATGATACCGCATATTACTCTTTGCTTTCTCTTTTGATACCATTTATATCCGATAAATCCAATTGTCATAAAAATCGCGGTACCTAAAATTCCGCCTAATGTACCAATTACAACATCATTAGATTTTAGAGAACTTGTAGTTGTTGAAGGAGAATTCGGAAAGCTTGTATTTGAAGGTATAGGCTCATATACACTTATAGGTTCAAATTTATCAACCCAAGTATAGTTTATAGTATCAAACAAGTAAATATTGTTTGACCAAGAAAGTTCTGCAAACCCATTTGGATGAGTAAAACGACCTATAAAATTCAATAAATTAGCTTGCTTATGAGATTAGTCAGAATTGTATATATAACGAAGGAATACTTGCCAAAAGTCACAATCACATAATTTTTAACTAAATTTGCTGAATGATAAGTAAGTGATGGAAATTCACCAATAATTGATGATATTGGTGGTACGGTCCATTCAAATGGAGTCGTTTGAGTATTTAAAACAGCCAGGTTTGGTTTGACATTAATAGATTTACTATCATCGCCTTTTGATCCACCATATATAATTATTCTTCCATCTTGAACTAAAAAATTAATATTATGACGTTATATATCATAAACATAAAAACGACATGTTATTAAGCAATACCTAATACGGCTGAATGACCATAACGGGAATCAATTAGATCAACACTTCTTGTTTGCTAAATAAATCTTGATTAATTAATTTAAGCATAATAATTAGCTTAATAACTTAAATATAATTACCATTACTGACCAGTTGTCAAGTTTAGTATCATAAAGGTAAATTAAATCAATATCTACTTCACGGAATATATTATCATTTATTATTTCCATGCCTCCAACATATGTAATAATACCATTTGATAATAATATTGCTGTATATGCAACTCGTTTTGGAGGAGAAATAGCAATTGAACTATGAAGCCACGTTAAATCATTAGTACTTAATATAATCATATCATTAAAATATTGATTATTTTCGGCTCCTAAAGAAACCCCACCAAAAACATAAACTTTTCCAGTACTATCTGCGACAGCTTGAATTCCTCTTCGTCTCATTGGCTCTGTTCCTGTAATTACAGGTACATTCCATTGCCCGGATTTTGGATTAAATGTATGAACTAGTGAGGTAAAAACATCTATATTATTATTATCTTGCATATATCCTCCAATAAGGTATATTGTTGAGTTATTATTACTATCGTTTACTGCAACAGTATTCGCCCAACAACTATTAAATTTTATTCCTGAATTTAATGTAAGGTCGATCCATGGTGGAAGTCCTGAATCAAATTGCTGAGAAACATCAAGATAGAATACTTCATTTGTACAAGTTGTTTCATTTCTTCCGCCAAAAAAATATAGTCTGTTTCCAACAAGGACAGTTGAA